GAGACAGAGGGCCTGTTTCATTTAGAAATTGTTGGACAGTTACCTTGTTCTCAAGCCTTTATTGACCCATGACTTGTGAGACCTGTGCCTCAAAATTCTAAACTTCTCAAGAGAGAAAGCTGTTGGGCTTTCCTTTGTGCACACTCATTTGTTCAAGTTTTCTCTTCTAGGCCAAAATAACCACTGTCCTTCTATTGAGCATTTGTGGGTCTGTTTTCTCTGTTGATCTCATTTCTTGATGTGTCTGCTTATTTATTTATTTATTTATTTATTTATTTATTTATTTATTTATTTGGCCAGGCATTGCAAATGTAAAATAGCAATTCTGGATGATGGTATTTCCTCCAAAAGAATTTATCTTCATTTCCACTAAAGGATAAATGTAACACAAATAAATAAATGACCCAGAGACTAATACTAGGGTTCAAGCTTCAAGCTGAATATTAGAAAAGCAAAGCAGTCAGGCACTAGCTTCTTACATCTACTTCAGGCTGGTCCTGTCCCCACAAGCTCTCATAAAACCTCAGACTGTAACCTTTCCTCAGCGTGGCTGGAGAATGAATGCCTCTATGAGGCCTGGCTTCTGTCGTATATACTTTCCCAATGTTGGGATTAAAAGTGTGAGCTATAATCCTCTTTTAGACTTATTCACTCTTGTGTAGATCTGGGTGACCTTGCACTCAGATATCTGTCTACCTCTTAATCCTAAATTCTAGGATTAAAGGTGTGTACCACCACCTCCTAGCTTCTGGCTGCTGGGATTAAATGTTGTGGCTGACTTTGATTTTCTGAATCCCCAGTCAAGTTTTAATAAATCACAAATAATATATCACTACAGACAAATTAGCAACAAACTACTTTAATACAACCAGAGATGGTTAATTCAAGACTGTGTTTCTCTGGTGTGTCCGGCTGGTCTCTGCAGTCCCACTATTTTAGGATTTATCAATTAATCACTGTTCTTCTGTCCTTGTTTTGCATCTGACCTTTTCTAACTATTAAGCAGGTTTCTACGTGCATTCATTATCTACTGCTTTCTTCGAAGTTAGGGGTGTAAACTGTATCTACGTCTATATTTTTTTGGTGTGTGTATCAAAACAGTAATTTTTTTCTTTGCCTCCTTTTGTAAATTGGCTGGTTTACACGAAGCCAGTGACATGATTTATTAATTCCACGTGAATATTCGTTTTTAAAAATATTCTATGTGATACTTATTGAATCACTAGGAGACCAAGTCTACCACAAGAAGGAGAGGCAAAGGACACAAGGCTGTTTGAAAGACATGGTGTCACAGTGTGTCTAAGTGCACAGTGCAGCTGAAAATACAACAGAGGCCACCGGTTCTGTGTACTTGCACATAGGAGTAGTTATGTCTTTAAACTTCTCTATGTCATTTCTTCCAAAGGCAAAACCCAACTCAGTGTTTATTTTTAGATGCATGTCTATGGAAGGCCTGCATGGTAGCAGGATGATGTAAAAACATTTTTTTGTAGAGCAAGAAGGTCCTCCCATGTCCTCTGAATGGCAGATGGGACTTGTGGATCGCCTCCTAAAAATCTCTCTGCTATCTTCTTTCCTCCAGGCAGAATGTCATACTCAGCTTATTTGACTTCAGTTGAGTGAGGTATGAAGATGCTTGTTTTGATTGGAATAAAGGAGAGCACTTTAAAATGTGTTTCTTTGATTTTTGTGTGGTTTCTGATAAAATAGATAAGCTTATCTGGGGGTCCTCTGTGGGAGTTGTAGGAGAAAGGAAATTCTAAGTGAATGAAACAGACAGAAAGGCTTTATCTAGAGAGTTACGGCATGGAAAAGGTAACTGGCAGAATATGATGGTGTGTGTGTGTGTGTGTGTGTGTGTGTGTGTGTGTGTGTGTTTTGCTGAGGATTAATTTCAAAATTCAAGATGTCACACATGCTAGACCCATGCCATGCCATTAAATTACACACTCATCCCAACTTTCCATCGTTTTCTTTAAAAAAAGGGATCTCCCATGTTGCCCAGACTGTATCCATCCTTATGGGTTCAAGTGATCCTCCTGCCTCAGCGTTCCAAGTAGCTGAGACTAAGGTACAGTTAAGCAGCAATGTGACCAGCTTTAAATCACGTCTACAACTGCGCTTGGTGGTGCAGGCTGCAATTTGTCAGTCAGGAGGAGGGGGCAGAGGATTACAAGTTCAAAACCTGCCTGGGAGACTCACACACACACACACACACACACACACACACACACACACACTATATGACTGTGTGATTGGAGGGGGTTAAATTTCCTCTCTAAATGTATATCAGACTTAAAGTAAAAAAAAAAGTTTCAGTTTGAACCTTTAACCCTGAATTTTCCAAAACACAACTTTTTGTTTTTGAGACAGGATTTCTGTATGTAGCTTTGGAGCCTGTCCTGGAACCTGATCTGTAGACCAGGCTGGCCTTGAACTCACAGAGATCCGCATGCCTCTGTTTGCCAAGTGCTGGGATTAAAGACATGCACCACCATAGCCTAGCTACACAAGGTATTTTTAATCACCTTGTTTAAAACAAAGTAATTGCAAGAATATTCCCTAACAAAAGTTTTCATAAAGATGAAGAAGGAGAGACAATGTGACTGGATTAAATGTGTCCGGCTTGAAGCTCGCTCTTCTCCTGACTCTTGTCCTCCTGGGGACTGGGTGAGACATCACCCTCCCTGTTGCCACTCTGGAAAGTTCATTTTGGTGGTTTGTTTAGGATGTGAGATTGCGTCATTCTGAGGACCCAGCTATGCAGTGCTGATGTAGCACGGGGCATCGTGGAGCTCTTATTGTGTGCCAGGCCCTGCTAAGGGCTTTTAGGACTTATCTTACTAAATCCACATAGCTACTTGGTGTGACACCAAAAGATATCTCGGGAGATCTTTTGTGACCACCAAATCTCCAGCAGGACCTTAAAATAAACATTCTAAGTCAAGAGCAAACCCGGCTTCAAGCACGGCTCCTCACATCCCTCTCCAACCAGCGCTGCCCCTAAGCCCTGGCTGTGTGGGCATCCTGGCACCGGCGAGCAGCAGTTATCCAGACCACAGATCCGGGAAGCCAGGGCCCGGAAGATTATGTAAGTTGTCCAAGGAGTCTTCAGCTAGGAAGAGGTAGACTTGAGATCCAAGACCAGGCTGTCTGACCAGATTGACTGGGCTTTAACCTGTATCTTATACTGAGAAAAAACTGGTTTGGACAGTTGGCCCAGGAAGGACCTTGGAAATGTTATTTACTAGGTACAAGTGTGTAGTCTTTTTTTTTTTTTTTTTTTTTTTTTTTCCTCCTTTGGTTTTGGTTTTTGAAGACAGGGTTTCTCTGTGTACCTCTGGCTGTCCTTGTTCTGTAGACCAGGCTCGCCTGGAACTCACAGAGATCCGCCTACCTCTGCCTCCCGTGCTGGGATTAAAGGAGAACCCAGCTTCTCCTACTTCTGCAATCACAAAATCATCCTGGCTCAGAAAGAAGCTGGCCTCGGCAGTGTGTGAAGCACCCAGTTTTGTTCAAGGAAATGTTTACACTAATATAGACAATCACTCCCATACAATTTGAATGTAACATTGTATAAATTGTCAGGGTTTGTAATGTAAATGAAAACTGCTGTTTGTTAAACACACTTACATTGAGGTTTGCTACTCCTCAAGCCCTGTCCTAAGTGAGACACAAGGCAGGCATGGTCCTGAAGTCACTGTGTTCAGTTTCCAAGAAGGAGACAGACATGGGAAGTAAACAAGTAGTTTAACAAGCCAACCAAAAATTGTAAGTGTCCTGCAGGGAATTAAAACTGGGGGATAGCAGAATGGGATGGCCTGTTTAATATGAATTGGCCAGCAAAGATGGCCTCTGCGCTGAGATCTGAAGGAGAGGCCTGCTGGAGGAAGAGCTGGGCCAGCAGTCTGGGAAATCCAGAGAGAAGGGGACAGGGAGGAGGGTGAGATGGTAAGAGGAAGATGAGACCAACAGAGAGGCCTTGGGCCATGGCTGCAAGTACATTTTCTTTTCATTGTTTTCAAATTCCATTTCCACTTATTTAATGTGTGTGTGTGCATGCTACAACACTGAAGATGACGTCAGAGGACAATATCCGGCACTCAGTTCTCTACTTCTGCCTTGTGGTTCCCAGGGAAGGTCCAGTCCACAGGCTTGGGGACAAGAGCCTTTACCCCTGAGCCCCTGAGCTGTGTCTCAGCCCGATTTGATAGTGAGGAAGGGTCTCACTACACAGCCCAGATGACCTTTGCTCCCAATCTTCCTGCCTTCAGTGACTTCCTAGTGCCAAGATTGCAGACGTGTGTCTGCACGTCTAGTCCAGGAGTATAATTTTACCAGAAGAATTTGAAGAAAAACGTGAAGACCACTGACTGACAGATTTTAAAGAGGGCGGTCATGGGCAGGGAGATGGCTCAATCTATAAAGTGCTTGCCTTTCCAGAAAACTGTCCAGATTTTTAACCTCTTTCTAGGGGGCCAGTTCTTTTAAAGTTCCATCTGCAAGTTCAGCAACAAAAATAGAAGCCCGGGGCACTGGCGCCTGAGCCATAACTCATGTCAGGGCACATCCTGCTGCTGAGTGCCGCTGTTTTTCCACTGTGAAACATTGCTGGGACCAGATTCTCAAAATAGCGCTCTGACTCCGGAGCGTGCCAGCATCTCACTGGAGTTATCTGGTCCTCCCAAGAGACCAGCAAGAATTCTCGGCTCTGGGAGCCTTGGAGTATCTCCACCCCGGTGCCAGGCCAGACTTAGCCATCAAGGCATAACGTCAGGGAGCCGCAGGCAGTTGGACCCATGGGGTAGCAAGTGGGAATGTAGACACAGGGGCCGGCCAGCTCCTTGTCTCCACGCGGGGCCGGAGACCCTGGCATTATATACAGGAGCACTCTGGCTTCGGAGTGCAAGGTCAAGACTATGGTTTTGTGGTTCTGCAAAGCCGGCCTTTGCCACCTTCTGCGTTATGCTTACTCCTACTTAGAATTTACCGAATGGGCCGCGCGTCGTGCCCTGCGCTGCCCAGACTAGCGAACAATACAGTCAGAATGGCTAAAGGTGACCCCAAGAAACCAAAGGGCAAGATGTCTGCTTATGCCTTCTTCGTGCAGACATGCAGGGAAGAACATAAGAAGAAAAACCCAGAGGTCCCAGTCAATTTTGCAGAGTTTTCCAAGAAGTGCTCTGAGAGGTGGAAGACAATGTCCAGTAAGGAAAAATCGAAGTTTGATGAAATGGCAAAGGCGGATAAAGTCCGCTATGATCGGGAAATGAAAGATTATGGACCAGCTAAAGGAGGCAAGAAAAAGAAGGATCCCAATGCCCCCAAAAGACCACCGTCTGGATTTTTCTTATTCTGCTCCGAATTCCGCCCCAAGATCAAATCCACAAACCCTGGCATCTCCATTGGAGATGTGGCAAAAAAGCTGGGTGAGATGTGGAATAACTTAAGTGACAGTGAAAAGCAGCCTTACATTACCAAGGCCGCAAAGCTGAAGGAGAAGTATGAGAAGGATGTTGCTGACTATAAGTCTAAAGGAAAGTTTGATGGCGCCAAGGGTCCTGCTAAAGTTGCCCGGAAAAAGGTGGAAGAGGAAGAGGAGGAGGAGGAAGAGGAAGAAGAGGAGGAGGAAGAAGAGGAAGATGAATAAAACCTCTGTCTCCTTGTGAATACATTAGAGTAGGAGAGCGCCGTGATTGACACATCTCGTATTTGAGCCGTGTCTATTGCCCTTGTTAGGTTTAATTACAAAATTTGATCACGATCATATTGTAGTTTCTCAAAGTGTCAGTGGTTTACATGAAGTGGCCGTGGGTGTGCGGAGCGCCCTGAAACTGTATCAAAGTTGTACATAGCTCCAAACATTTTTAAAAAGAAAAGGCACTCTCGTGTTCTCCTCACTCTGTGCACTTTGCTGTTGGTGTGACAAGGCATTTGAAGATGTTCCTGGAATTTTGTTTTCAACTCGTAAGGTAGTGTTAACTATATGGTTGGTTATTGGCTAGAAATCCTGAGTTGTCAACTGTACATATCTATAGTTTGTAAAGAAAACAAACAACCCAGACAGATTCTTGATGCTCCTTGTTTGACGTGGAGGCTGTGAGGGGAAGATGCCTTTGGAGGAGGCCGTAGCTCAGGGCGTGCACTGTGAGGCTGGACCTGTTGATACTGCGGTGGGCATCCATTTAGCTTCAGGTTGTCTTGTTTTTGTATATAGTGGCATAGCATTCTGCTGACATTCTTAGTTGTGGAAAAGGGGGGAGGGGTCAGCTGGCATGAGAAGTGTTTGGATTTTTCTTCAGTTAAGTGCCGTAGATTTAAAACCGTTTTTAAACAAACTGTAGAACTCATCACTGTCAGCAAAGCAAAGAACTACTGCATCAATGAAAGTTCAAGAACCCTCTGTACCTAAACGCAATTTGCAACATTCTGTTATTTTTTGTATGTTTAGAATGCTGAAATGTTTTTGAAGTTAAATAAACAGTATTACATTTTTAAAAAAAAAAAAAAAAAAAAAAAAAAAAAGAATTTACCGAATGGGTTTAGGGAGCAAACAGCATTTTCAATACTCTGGCATTTACTAGATAGTACAACCTAGAAATAGTGATTGTACACCAGAATCCAACAAACTGGAATCAGTACTCCCAACACTTAAATCCATGAGACCTTGCCCGAGACTCTCAAACACTTGCAGAATAAGTTTGTTAAATGTCTGTGGTCTCGTTTTCCCGACTGGAAAGGACTGCGGCTCCCTAGAAAGCTGTTACAAAGACAATGAGCATATTAAAGATATATAAGTTAGCACAACCACATTTTATTTTTCTTCACAGAAGAAAAAAAAAAAAAAGACCTCCCAATGTTTCTTACTCTGATTCTTACCACCCCCTTGCCAGATTTATCTGTTCAGTAAATAAGCATCACATGGGCACAGCAGTAAGTACTGAAGAAAAACCTTGAGTAAGATATTATCCAGGGCCACAATCTAGAACAGTTGTTCTCAACCTGTGGGTCATGACCTCTTCCGGGGTTGACAGCCCTTCACAGGGATGACCTAAGACCATTGGAAAACACGGATATTTACATTACAATTCACAACAGTAGCAAAATCGCAGTTAGGAAGTAGCAACGAAAATAACTTTTTGGTCTGGGGGGGGCAGCTCAGCATGAGAAACTGTGAAAGGGTAGTAGCAGCATTAGGAAGGGTGGGAACCACTGGTCTAGGGCTGTCTGTGAGGAACTGTGTTAACTAAGGGCTGCAGCGTCAGGAAGGGTGATAACCACTTCTCTAGAAAGATCCATCTGCTCAGTCCATTCGATGTGTACACATGCTTCAATGCCTGGGAATCAGTACCACCTACTCATGGCCATCCCCATTATCCTGAGCTTGAAGGACACAAGACACAAATCCAGGGCTCCCCCTGAATCTACGCTCAACTCTGAAGCTTTTGTTTGATGTCAGAGTAACCCTGTAGACCCGTGAAAGATAATGAACAGGCTGAGCCATTCCTTGTGAAAACGAGAGTGGACGAGAGCATCCCACCTTGGCCAGGTGTCCCTGGTGTTTCTTGGTCTCTTCCTACATCTGCATCATCAGAGCAGTCCACCTGTCATTTCCTACGATGAGCTTCTTCCTAGCGGGGGCCTTTGAACATGCCAGCCTCTTGGTCTAGGATGCCGTCTTCCAGGCCCTTTGGATGATAGGCTCCTCCCCTTCCTTCTGCATCAGGCAAAGGCCATATTTCCAGAGATGTCCCCTGATGACTGCAGTCACTGTTCCCTGCTGCAGTGCCCTGTTAGCTGCTTTCACAACCTGCATCTTATTTCTGTGCTCACTTGCCACTTGACTCTCCCTCAACAACATGAGAAGACAGTCTGTATCTTACCAGAAAATAGAGAGCTAGTTGGGCATGGCGACACACACCTTGAATCCCAGTACTCTGGAGGGAGAGGCAGGAGGATCCCTGAATCAAGGCAGCCTGTCTACAAAGTGAGTTCTTGGAAAGCCAAGGCTACACAGAGAAACCCTCCCTCGATAAACAAAACACAAACAACACTCCCCCCAAATAAACAAACAAACAAGAAGACTACAGGAAAGAGAGGGGCCAGAGAGTTGCCTGAGTGACTAATGGCACTCTGCTATGATCTCATTTGATAGGAGGAGCTCTGGACCCTGTGTAAGGGTTAGTGCACATCTGTTAAGGATTAGTAATAGTGCATGCTATATGTTTGGAGCTGGAGCTCCAAAGCCTTGTGTGTGCTAAGCAATTACTCTTCCACAACGCTACCTCATCAAACAGTTTGTTAATTTCACCCAAAAATTTTTTTGACACACCACCTAATTCAAAGATGTATGCCCACATGTACCTTGTGCTGGGTATTTAGAGACTACAATGTCACACCACGTCACAGCAGTTAGGTCTCAGGCGGATGGGGTCCCAATGGGAGCTGCTTATTCAGACCTCCAATTTTGAACAAGTTTCCAGGCATTGCTGATGCTGGGGAATTGCATTCAGATCCCAACAACACCTCTCTGGCCTCAGTTTCTTTTCTTACTCTCTCTCTCTCTTTTTTTTTTTTTTTCTTTTAGATTGTATTTATTTATTTTGTAGTGTTCTGTCTGCATTGTGTCTGAATACCAGAGGAGGGCACCAGATCTCATTATAGATGGTTGTGAGCCACCATGTGGTTGTTAGGAATTGAACTCAGAACCTCTGGAAGAGCAGACAGTCCTCTTAACCTCTGAGCTCTCTCTCTCTCTCTCTCTCTCTCTCTCTCTCTCTCTCTCTCTCTCTCTCTCTCTCTCCAGCCCCTGAACTCAGTTTCTACACCTGAAATGGGGTGGGGGTGGGGTTAAGAAGTTTCAATGAGGCCTCATCTCTGGTCATTGTTTTTAAAGTGTGGATTACTATTTTGCAATAAAAGGAATTCCCAGCAGCACTAGCTGATGAAACAGGCTGGGCTTCTAGGGGTGTTTTATACTGTGCCTTGCCATCTGGCGACTGCTAAGTACTTTTAAACACTATTGCAGCTCTTGAGCATTTAAAATTTGCTACATATTATTCGGTCTCCAATAGGCAAATAAATAAACAACAAACAAACAAGGCTGGCACAAATGAATCTTTTTATACGAACAAAGTTTAATCTTTATGCGTTGTGTATTGCATCGTGGGTGTTTGCCTGCATGTGTGTTGTGCTCACCAATGCCAGAAGAGGGTGCTAGATCCCCTGGAGCTAGATTTAAGGTGATTGTCAGACTCCTATCATGAAGCCAAACTCAGGTTCTCTGCAAGGTCAGCAAGCACTCTTAACTGTGGAATTATCTCTCCAGGCCCTCAGACAAAAGAAAAAAAATTATTATTACTTTTTTTTTAAAATAGTTTTTTTATATATTCTGATTTTTGTTTTTCCTCCCCCAACTTCTCCCAGATCCTCCTAGTCTCTCCTCCCCACCCAGCCAAATCCAAACTCTCTCTCTCTCTGTGTGTTTCTCTCAGGAAAAGTCATTAAAATAAGCAAATACATTAATTAATTAATTAATTAATTAAATAAGGTAAAATAAAATCAAACAAACCAGAATAGGACAAAACAAACAGAAGAAAAGGAGCCAAAGGAAAAGCACAAGAAACACAGAGACATGTTATGAGTAAGGTTTTTCCCTGCGGGCCTGGGCCCCACCATGCCAGCCCCAAATAACACACAGAGACACTGTATTAGACATAAAGCTGTTGGCCTGGTACTAGTGTTTCTTATCGGCTAGCTCTGTCTTAAATACTAACTCATTTCTATTAACCTAAGTGTTTCCACCTGGTCTCATCTTACCCGAGAGAGGGGCTCACGTTCTACTCTCTGTCCTCCATCTTGAATCTCCTCCTTCCTACTTCCTCTCTCCTCCTTGTCTCCTAGTCCCGCCCATCTTGCGTTCCTATTGGCCAACAGTGCTTTATTCATTAACCAACAAGAGAAACATATTTACAGAATGACATCTCCCATCAAAGACACACACACAGAAAACCCACATAAACAAAATCGGAAACCGTGGTATATAGACAGAAGACTGGTAAGGGTTAAAAATATGCCCAGACAAAGCATTATGACACATAAACTTCCAATAATACCATTGAATTCACCAAATTAAAACAAAAACAAAACTAAATTGTCACAGTACTTTTCCCAGGGCAATATGAATGAAGTCGTATCCATCCTAGGTAAGGCATCAGTGACTCACCAAAGAAATAATTCTGTCTAGTTCCAATCAGTGAAGCAATGAGCATATTCGACTTATAGGAGCATGAGTGACAGTTTACTTACAGGAGTGTGGGTAATGGAGAACAGTCCCACCACTGAGAAGTCCCGCTCTATTCTGAATAATGACCCAATGGAAGCTGTATCATGGGTTCCTATCTTCAGTTTCCTTCCATGTCCTGTATCCAGCAGTTCCCAACCCAACCAAGACGATATGCAGCTAGGGAGTATGGAAGGGTGACAGATGGAACCCCAGCTAAGGCTATAATGACCCTCTACTAGGGAATGTTAATAGTCTCACCACCGTCACAGCGGACCTAGCCATCACTGCTCTGTTTTTTAATTGTCATGAGTTATCCATATTCCATGTTGGCAACGGAATAGCCATGTTATGCCTGGAATAAAAAGCTACACTACCATAGCAATGAATACAAAAAATATTAATGACACATTTTATTTATTTTATATTATGCTTTTAAAATCTGCTTTAAAATATAACATGTGTCCACGGTGACTGGCCACAGTTGAAGTGTTCCGCACCATCATGGGTTAGTGGGTGCTGTGCTGGTGTGATCTCTGCAGCCAGAAGCCCTAAGGGAAATCACACCATTTCTCAGTGCTGCAGGTTTCGAGACTATAAACTAGATCAAACTCATTTAGAGCAGTGATGGAATTAAGGAGATCGTTGCCTGCTTCTGGGTTGGTGCTCAGTGTTAGCTCTTAACGATCATCACCAAAAAGTTACTGCCATGTTTCTAATGAGCAAAGCAACCTTCTGTTAGGTTCTAATCTGGGATTTCTGCACCACAACTGCATGTCTCAGTACATTCATTTTCCACGACAGCTCTCCCACCTGCCTTCAAGCTTGCCAGGGAGAGCTGGGGTTTGGGTCTGGCTCTTGCAAAGCTGAGCAACATGTATGTAACCCGACACACTTCTTTACACTGTTAGGTCTGCAAATAGATTCTTCTTGAATTTTCCAAACAAGTGGTATCATATTTTTTTTAATTAGGATATAAGATTAGGTTCAGCTATTAATTTTTTTAGCTTGCTTTTTGGTGATCTCTGAAGGGATTAAAACCATACTTCATTAGAGTAAGAAAA